AAAAAAAAAGATTTTTGCTAACAGTGTAGAGGCCATAACTAACTACAATTTTTCCAAAAAAAAAAAAAATGCTGAGATGCGTGTATTTTTTTAAAGCAGCTTTTGAAATATCAACTACAGCATCAAACATTGAACACAGTACATTCCAAAGTTAATACAGATAAATGGTATATAATGCAATAATGCCACAGTTATTCCATGTATGTCTGAAAGCTGATTCTAAACTTGAAAAAATAATTTCTAGTTTATGAGCTGGAGATTTCACTTCCTTTGCTTCCTTGCTAGAGTTTTCCATCAACGATTTTTTTTCTTTTTAATGTCCCAGGATGTACAGATAATTCCCAACATTCCACACCTGAAACCTTTGTTCTTCCTTTGTCAGGTTTTCAAATAAAATCAAACTATACTGACAAGATAATGTTTGATATCTCAATTCCACAGATGTAGGTTAATTAATCCATGACATCTCATTTCAACGCCTTCTTCAGGATTTATGACCCTCCCCAAAGTAATTTAAAGCCTGGCTTTAAACTGCACAGACAGGTGGGTGGCCACGTGGCCAACATGCCTGCGCCACAGCCACCCTGCACACAGGCCATGTGTGCCCCTTTCCTCGTCTCCTCTGGGTGGTGGCATTCCTGGCCTTCGCTACCCGCCTCTGCTGGGGAAGACGCGGCTCCTGCATCCTCCCTCCACAGTGATAAACGTCTTAACAGCTCTGGCTCCCAGGATCCACGGTCCCCATGGAAACAGCCTGACCAGAGGCCCATGGGGGACAGGCCCAGGCCTCCTTCTGTTCCTTCCGGACAGTGGAATTCTGAGCTCTGTCCGCTTCCAGACAGTCGGGGCCCACACTGCTCTGTGTAAAACCCTCAAGCAGGCTGGCCAGCACCCAGGTTCAGGTCCAGAACAAAGCGTCCGAGCCGGGGCAAGGCGGGATCCGGACTGCGGCCTCTTTTGGAAAAGCAGGCACTTGTGGCGGCCTGATGCTTCTGGGTTAAGTTGCCGAAATGTTCGCTTCCTCGCATTCCAGAGGATTCTGTTTCACACACAGACAGAGCCAGTATTTGGAGGGGGAGCGTATCCAAAATATATGAACATACACATCAGGGTTTAAGGTACTGGATGATATTGTATAAATTGCTAAAATGCTTCTCGGCACAATTGGTAGCTTAAAAAAATACTTTGCTATGTTTTAATGGCATTTCCCCCCATCACTGTTCTTCAGTGTGGAAATCTTGGCAGACACCAAGTCCATCTGAAGTTCGCAGTTTTTTTCTTCCAAACGGGTATGTACCATGTGAGCCATCTGCTCTTCAGGCCAGGGAAGAATACTCCTCCCTGCCAAGCACCTTCCCCTCTGCTAGTATCTCAGCCCCCAGGGCAAATAAATGCAAGGAAAATGAACACCTTCTTCCTGACCTCCAACAGCCAGACACCCAGCTTCTGGAACAGTCCAGTCCTTTGTCAGGTGGTTTGCTCTTCAGATCGTGAGTCAGTCCAGCCAACAACATGGAAAACAAATTGGTGTTTATAGGCACAGGAGATCCCGGCTGAGCCCCCCAGGTGGGGCTTGGCAATTGGCGGTAGGGTTTCCAAAGACGAGAGGTTGGATGGGACTGTTTAAATAAATAAATCTTTTTTTCTTGATAATGTAAAAAATAAATGGTATTTCCCTTTGGCAGTAAATAGCTGATTCGAAGTTGAGCCTGAAAGCTGTTTTTGTTTCTGTTGTTTTAGTTTTTGTTTTGAAGAGACCACAGCTTCGTCTGGTGGTCAGACACTACAATGCATATATGTCTACTGCTTTAGTGAACCTTTTGCATATTCATCTGTGGCGGGCCTACTGACCTCACTTGTGGCCCAGGTAGGCACCCAGGGTGATGCAGGCGCCCACCAGGGCCAGACTGAGCAGGGCCTTGAGAGACAGCCAGGAGAAGTCAAACAGAGGCTGCATGCTGGGGCCATAGAGTTCCACAAAGGCGTCCTGCAGGGGGAGAGGGGGACAGAAAAGACAGCGTATGAGAGAGTACAGAATGCAAGCCTGCGGGGAGCGCTGCTCCCAGCCTGAGCGCCCGGGGCACCTTCAGAAGGGGCCTGGGAAAAGAAACGCTCTTTTCGGGGGCAGTGATTTCAGACCCACTCTTTCCACCTTCATTCAATAAATATTTATGGAGATCCTATTAACGTGCCAGGCCCCACAGGGACACAGCAGTGAGTGACCTAGACTAAAAGTTCCTACCTCACCAAGCTTTTATCTAGTCAGGTGGGACAGATGGCAAACAAAATAAATGTATCCTACGGTATATTAGAGAGTAGTAAGTGCCAAGGAGAAGAGGGAAACTGCAAAGGCAGTTAGGAATATTGGATGCTTTGCAATTTTCCCGAGCGTGGCCATTCATAAAAGTGATAAAAAAAACACGGACAACGGCTACGCTCCTTGAGGGCTTGCCGGGTGCCAGGCACTGTAACAAATGCCTACCATGCATTCCTGTGTTTATGCTTCATACCAATCTTACAGAGTCATTTTATTTACTCCTGTTCTGTAGAGGAAAATACTGAGGGGGAAAAAACAAAACAGAACAGATTAAAGGATTTGCCAGCGCCCTTTACTCTGCTGATGAGCTGGACACAAACAGGGTGGCCTCCACTGGTGGCATGCCTGGCCTCTGAGGTCAGTGGCAGGGTTCACCCTGGGAAAGAAAGCTGTTTCACCCAGGAGTGGCTAGACTAGACAACCGCAGCTCTGCATTTAGCGCAAGGCCTGAACTTCACACAGCATGTGGTCACTTAAGGTCAGTTATGTGTCACTGGCCACCCAGGCCCCCAGGGAGAGAACACAGCTCCTGTTTTCCCTTCCATTTACTGCACTGAAGGCCTGCAGCGTGTTGAAACAAAATCCTCTGGATTGTTTTAGATTGAACCAATCAGTGAATGTTCATGTCTTGATTTCGGGGGGAGATTAGGTTCTACATTTGGACCCAATGAGTATTTGGACTACTGTCTAAATACATCTGACTATATAAATCAGTAAATGAAATTCTTTTCATTTGGTGTGATTTATTCAGGCATGAAGGAGGAAACAACATAGTTCCACATTGTTCCACAGCCTGGAATCGGAGTGCACAATTTCATTACGGCAGGCAACCACAGACCAGCCCCTCTGGCCTTGTGTGCAGAGGAGGTTCTGACACTGTCCAGTGCTTCTGTCCAAGGCAAGTCCTGACCTAGAGGGACCACATATTACCTGTCTTCCCAGTGCTGTAAGAGATCTGGGTGTATATAAATGCTTAATGAATATTTTTTTGATTATCAATTCATTTTCTGAATTAAATCACTGGTTTGAATTCTGTCTTTGGCCTAATGCTTCACCCAGTTGCTTACTCTGCTTGTTTGAAATTATTCCTTCCACATGGAACCACCTCTGGGAATCTTAGAATAGTTTGAAAGGTGAGAGTTTAAGGCATTGTTAGGGGAACTTCTCACATGATTAAATATAGACTTATAAGGTTGTTTTTCATGACTGCATAGTATTCCATCACATTATACACCATCCTTATTTAACCAATTCTTTATCTAAGTTGTTTTAAGCTTTTACTATTATAAACAATATTTTGATACACTTTTGTACATAAATTCTTGTCTACTTGTTCGGTTGTTTTTTTCGGAGACAAATTCCTAGAAATGAACTCAGCTGACCAGCCATGAAAATTGCTACCCACAGTCACAGAGGGTTTGTGCTGAGCCATTGTCTCTCTCACTGGTTTTCCTGTGACCAGTGGCATTTTTCACAAAAGGCAGACGAGGGCTCAGGGCAGTGGTTCTCACTGGGGGCAATCTGGCCCCCCCCAGGGGGCATATGACAAGGTCTGTGAACATTTTTGGTAGTCATGGGTCAGAGCAGGGGCGCTGTTGGCATGTAGTGAGTAGAGGCCATGGATGCTCTTCTACACCCACCACGCACAGGACAGGACCCACCACAAAGCATTATTCAGCCCAAAACACGAGTCTGAGAAACCCTGTGAACAAAGGTTTAGAAGAAACTGTGGTTACAATCTATAGAGGACCCTGTGTCCATCTAGTGTGTCAACAGCTGTGGTGACATCAGCACAGGATCAGTTAGTTAGCCTGGACAGTAACCACTCCCCAACTAGTGGACCTTCAGATGGCCTAGATTAACTTTTACCAGGAGAGGGCGCAAGGGTTTTCTTCTTTCTTAACCTATTGTTAAAATTCTCTAAATTTGAGCCTTAGAAAAGCGAGGCCGTAGACATAAAAAAAATATGTGCTTAGTGCTCTGAGAACAAAGCTGAGGTAATAATCACGATGATTTGTCAAGGAACATACTTTCCTTATATGTAATCAGGGATAAACTGGGCAGAAAGGGATCAGGACATATTTACCAGCAAAGAAACTCTGCTTGTTCCAAAGAGCATCCCAGGATCCCACAGACACAGCGGTGAACACCTGGCAGCCTACCCTGCCAGTCTGCTCTCTGAGGGATGAAGGCAGGGACCCACAGAGCCCAGCCAAATGATGCAGGAATCCTTCAGGGCACTGGCGTGGGGCTGTGTGCAACTGGGCTTGACACTGAGCGGGTCCATGGTGGGCCATGCCTTCCTTTAATTAAGGGAGTTCTCTGCAGCAGCTTATGAAATAGACTAAGCCCTTGGACACCTGGGGAAATGGTAGAAGCAGGGCCAGACTTGGGCTGGCATGTCCTCCCTGTTTGCCTGGTGCACAGTTCCAGGGGGCAGAATATCCTACTCTCTGGAGCTGGAACGATTCCCTCTCCCGACCTCCACCCCTTCATGCAAATAACTGTTTCTAATGGACCTAATGGGCTATTTCTGATGGGTATTATAAAGAAAAACATTATTTCTGCAGTGGGATGAGCTAAAGTAGCATCCTTTGACTCAAAGAGTGAGCACGGAAGTGCTGATGCAGCCTTAGGGCTGCGGGAACAGCTCTGGACTTGGGGGAGAAGGTCCGGGTGAAATCCCGGCTTTGACATTTTATTGCTTATGACCTTGAACAAATTACCCAACCCTGAGCCTCATTTATTTCACCCATAAAATTGGTTGTTGTGAAGATTAATGTAGGTGACTCAAAGGCATTTATAAAGGTGGCCTAGAATGTGAGCTGGTGGAAGGATTAGCTTGTTCCCTAGTCTGCCCCACTCTAGAGGGTTTACTGACCCTTCTGTTTTACAGAAGCAACTCTCTAGCACCCCTAAAGAGTCAGATTTTGGCTCTGAAGATGCTTGGTAATTACTACAGAAACTGAATTAAAATGCACATGTGACGTGTTCTGCTCGAGGATGGGAAGTGACAATAAAACGCCCACCCATACTTCCTCAGAATACTGAGTCAGCTTAGAGGGCTGAGGGGTGTCATCTGACTCCCCTGAGATTTGTTCTGGCCCCTGAGGTTTGCCCATCAATGATTACCAAGCGCAAAGCAGACCCTGCGGTCTCAGGACTGAAGATCCTAAGAGCTACTGTCGTAGAGAGTCTTGCTTTTTCAAACATCCTGATTAGGGTGATTTCCGAAGTCTGTTTGAACAGCCTGTCATTATTTGTTTAAGTTTGAAAGCTGTTTTAAATAAACACATGCTCATTTCATGTATTAAAAGCAACAAAGACCGAAAAAGAAAACCTGGGCCGTGGTCACGTGATTCGGCCCAAATCCCAGCCTATACATTGAGGAGGCACGGGTACCCTTGCTCAGGCCAGGACTGGCAGGGGATCTGCCCGATTCCTGGGATGAGCACAGCGGCCTGGGAGGCAGGCGGCCTTCCTCCTCCTGCTGGCCCCTCACGTCAGGCAGCAGGCAGGCAGGGCCTCAGCTCTGGAGGCTCTTTTGCAATTTCTCCAGAAACTGAAAAATCAGGGGCACAGACAGTCTGAGGAGGGGTTCCACCCACAGTCGGCCCAACAGGGTGGCCAAACTCCCGACCTCAGTCAGGCCTTTGCTGTGCAGTGGGAAGTAAGCCAGTGAGCTATCGACAGGAACAGTCAAGACTCAAGACTCTAAGCAGGAGGACAGCAAAAGTGTCCTTGTTCCTAACGCATTGTGACCGGTAGTGGGGCCGCTCCCAGCCCCTTCTCTCTCTCTTTCCGTCTCTGTCTCTGTCTCTCTGTCTCAGATCCACACTGCTCCCTGAGGCAACCCACCCTCCAAAATTTTCCCTTTCCCTCAGAACCCTTAAGAAGTTTCATTTAAACCTGGTTCCAAATAAGATGAGTTGAATAAACAAATGAGTGGGGTTGGCAAAAACAGAAAAGAATGCTGAGTCCTGCTGGAAAGGAAGGGGTTTGCGGGGGAGCCCCACATACTCTTATGCAATCGATGGACTCCCGGGTGAAGGCAACACCACACACCTTTGTCTTCGGCAATGCATGTCAGAAGCCTTCAAATAAAAAGCTTTGATTCTTTTGCTATTAATGCTACTTGGAGTTACGTATCATGAAAAAAATAATTTAAAAAATGCATAGCTTTGTTATAATAGTTGAAATGTGAAAACAGCTTAAATGTCTAAAAATATGACAGGCTAAATGAACTTATAGCACATTCGTACATGGACTACTCCTCAGCCCTGAACAATTGTGCCTTCCATTTACCGGCAGGGCAAAGTGTTCCTAACATGGTACTGAGCGGACCGGGTAGCAAGGTCAGGCCACTGGCTCGTGCTGGTTCTCAGCTCTCCTCATCCGCTGGGGAAATTTAACGTGGCTTGGCTGGTTATGAACAGATTCGAGGTGCAGCCACATCCCACAGTCATGGAGCTGACTGAGGACGCAGGTGTCGCAGGACCACGGGAGGCCCTAGGGGGGAAAGCCATCCTGCCCTCAAAGAGCATACAACGCAGAGACAAGTGACGCCAACACACGCACATCAGAACTAAATAAAATCACGGTGCGCTGCCATTTTGTATCCTGCACAGAGCAGACAGTCCAGTCAGCAGTTAGTAGAAAATGAAAAGAAAATGAGACGGTGTTAACAGGAGCTCAAACACTGCTATGGAAGCCTTTGGCATTTTCTATTTTTCATGGCTTTAAAATTTTGTCTCCGTGGGGATCACCTGCCTCACAACAGCCTGAGGGTTGGGGAAGGAAAGGGTGAACCGCAGGAACACAAGGGCTTGAGCTGGACAGAACTTCCAAGCAGTTCAGATCTCCCGCCCTGGTGTAAAAATGCCTAATAAAGATATTAGTCCTTTTTAAATAGGTGAGACAAAAGAAATCTAGACAGGTGCAGTACATCACTTAAAGTATGTGCAAAAAAGCAGGTATGAGGAGGGCGAGGCGCGCAGAGACGGGGTGTACATCTCCCGCCTGTGCTTAACGCGTTTGACCGTCGGCGGGCAGCTGGCTCTTCCGTCTCCCCGGGAGCCTCCTACCTGCCTCCCCCAGCTTGCTTCCTCCTGTACCCGACCTTCTCTGTGCCCCACCCTGCCCTCTGCCACAGCAGCCTCATCTGGCCTTCCAAGGGTTGCTGAGGAAAGTCGCCCAGCCGTGCAGACCAGTGCCCTCCAAAGCCCCGGACTCCAGACCCCGTGAGTTCTTGGGCCCACTTAGCCCTCTTCGCCCATGGTCAGAGATCCCTTCCTGGGCTCCTTTCCACGGCTATTCTGAACAGCCACTGCTTTACTCGTGTGCTCTCCTCACCTTTCCACAGCTGATGTCATCTCTCTTTCTCTGAGAAAATCGGGGCCACTGGGCAGGAATGAGCACGGCTTCCTGTGCTGGCATGGCCACTGACTTACGTCTCCGTCCTTCCCTGCTCCTTCCCACCCTGCACCCTTGTTCCTGTCTCCCGTTGCTTCTGGAACCTTCCTCCCTCAACGGACCCTGCTCTCAACTACAGTTTCACCATTATCCTTCCGTCTTTTCTTCTTTGTCATACAAATATTCACATTTCCTCAAGATGTCCCTGCTGATGCTGCGTTCACCCTAAGATCATCCTCTCTCCCCGCCCTCCCATGCATCCCAATAGGCTGTGTTCCCACCCATTTTTTAGTCCAGCCAGCATGGCTGCTCCCCTTTGGTGCCTCTGAAATCCCCCCCGGAGACCACAGATACCCTCCATGTGGCTAAATCCACTGGATGCTTCCAGGCTGCAGCTTTCTGAGGGCTCTGAGGCGCTGAACACCGGGGCTGCTGAGGGTCTTCACTCCTGCAGTATTTCTTCTCTGCTGCCTTCCCGGACACCGGCTACTCCACCCGCCCTGACAGGCCCTCATGGCTCCCTGGGCTTCTGGTCTGGACCGTCTTCTCCACTCTCCCGGTCATAAATGTCATTCGTACGATCACGTCTCTGCCATCCTTGCATCCGGCCCCACCTGCCCCTCTGACTGCCGGATCCCTACTCCTGTTGCTTTTTATGATGTCCCACCAGAAGTCCCAAACTGGAGCTGTCACAGCTCCGGCCAGCTGGCCCCTCCTCCTGCCTTCCCCTGCCCTCGCTGTCAGGTGACTCCACACCCTGATTGTCCCCTGAATGTTGTCCTCGTCTTTACCTTTCACCCATTCACTGGCAAATCCCACAGTCTCGGGTTGGGTTTCCCCAGAAGCAGACCCTAAGACAATGACTTGCGTGTGAACAGTTCATTTGACAGATGCTCCCAGGGAGTGGGGAAGTGGGGAAGTGAGATAGAAAAGGGCAGACAGCCATGAAATCGCCTCACCAAGTAACTGTTGCTGGCAGCTGGGCATAATCCTGCTGGGAAACCTGGGGGCCAGGGCAGCGCAGGCACCTTTTGCTATCCCCCTAACAGGCTAGGGAGCTGGGGTATTTATACTGTCCACTCCTTCCATTCATTGGCTGAGGGCTGCTCCTATAGAGGTGTCAATACCTAGCACTTCCCACAGGCCTTGCACCCAGGCAAAGTGGACTTGAGAGGCCAAAGAAAGCCCTCGGGGAAAGACATGCCAATGCTGAATCCCTCGTAGCCAGAGGTCAAGCCAGTGAGCACTGCAGTGGTAAAGGGCAAGGGGATAATATAAGGCACTGTATGCACCACCCATCTGACCAATAAATAGGTCTCTATCCCCATTCCCTTCTCTCCCCAGGATTACTGCTATGACTGCCCATCTGAGGTCTGCCTCCAGTCTTGTGCCCAGCTTCAGTCTACTTTCCATGTTGCAGCCGGAGGGATCCATTCAGCACCAGAGCTGTCAAATTCCTTAACGTGGCATCCACAGCTCCCAGTATTCTGGCTGAAACCTAGCTCTCCTGCTCAGCTTCTGTTACTTGTAAGTTAACTTTGGTTCATTCAGGGATTCAGTGTAATCATTTTCTGCAGGCAACTTTCTCCAAGCCCCTGGGCTAAGCTAAATAATCCCTGGCTATTCTCAGTTTACTGTACTGTCTGAAGATCACCTGTTCATATGTCTGCCTTCCCATATCCAGCTCCTAGCACCTGGAGGAACAGGGACCACATTTTATTTATCTTTGGTTCCCGGGTGCCTGTGTCAGTCACACACTAGGCACTCAGCAAATGTGTGTGGAACTGAAATAAGCTTATTTCTTTTACTATAGAGTAGGTTTTCCAAACATATCTTACTAGATGATTTTTTAAAGGGGGGGGGGATGTTGAAAGGACAAATAAATGATGGGCTTAAACAAAATCCAGTGCTTTTCATGGCACAGCCTCTAGTGTCTTCCTATGAGGCACTGATGCTCAGCCAGACTCTAACGGTCAGCGTTAGATCTGATGGCCAGGTTCTGTGCCATGCTGGTCGGTAAATATTTTGAGTAACAACCCGACCTGTGCGCCTTGTGAGTCTCCAAGAGACGGATAAGCCGAGCAGCGTTTTCCAAACACACATCTGACCATGTACTTCACTGTCAGGGAGAGTCCTGCTGTGTTCTGAAGACATGCTTTGAAAATGCTGCCTGGAGGTGGAAAAATACCACCAATACTGCCCACCGTGCAGGACAGGGGGCCAAGCTGTTTCTGGCCAACCACAGGAACAAGAAGACCCCCCTCCCCCATGGCAACCAGGCCTGCATTCCACTAAGGGGTGTGAGCATCAGTTGGAAAGCCACCTACGAAAAGGGCTCCAAGACACAGCACCCACGAACAGGCAACTGCCAGGCGACAGAGCATGTTGGGAGAGAGAGAGAGGGAGGGACACAAAGGAGGGAAAAAGGGGGACACGCACAGAGAGATGGGTGACCTTCCTGAAGCCGAGGCAGGAGTGATTCTCCGGACACCAACCTTCCAACCAGGGCTGAGATCGAAAGGGGAAGCAGGGGGCCCGCACTGCTGCATGTCGTGGCCAGCACAGCACCCTCGAGGAAGTGAGGACTTTTTTCTACCTGAATAAAGCAGCTGGTGAGGAAGTGACTCCATTTCCCCCCTTATCATTGGCTGAGCAGGATTTCCTCTGCAGCCACTTTGTGCTGAATGAGTCTTGAGGTTCCATCTGCAGATCGGGGTGGGGGGGCTTTGGCAGCTGCAAGCTTCTGTCCCCTGTGGCTCTTCCTCCTTCACCCTCCCTTCTCTCCCAAAATATTGATTCCGGGTTTGGGGGAAAAGGAAAGAACAACAACAACAACAAAAAAGACCCAACTCTCAAGCATGTCACGGAAGGACACACAGCTGCCCAGCCTGCAGATGTGAAGAGAAACCCAAGCACAAGAAGCACAATGACCCCCCCTCAGGATTGCAGGGACACCCCCGAGGCGGGCTCCCGTGAAAGAAGCTCCATCTTGGAGGGACTCCGGGCCCAGGGGGAGGCGCTAGTTGGATCACAGGGCAGGGACATAAAATGAAACCTAATCTAAGTGTCATCTGGATGTAACTGGAAACTTGCTAGAGACATGGCAGGAGATGAAAAACCCAAACAAAACAAAAAACAAAACTTGCCCGCCTACCCCACTTGGTAGGGAAGTTTGGGTGTATTTTGTTATGCAAATAGAGCTAGGGAGGCAAATCAGGCAGGAGGCCCTCAGGAGCCAGGGAGGGCAGAAAATGAGAAGCCCCAGAGTTCCTCCCTTTCCTGAGCAGGGGCACAGCGTGAAGATGATTTGCAAAGGGGTCTGACACTCCGGAACCCCTGCAGCCAGGCACCAGGTCAAAGGCATGTGCTGTGTACACCTGCTGGAGGAGCCTCGAGCCAGAGCCGGCCAGTTCCAGGGCGGGATCTAAGAGGGTGCTAGTCTCACTGCCATGTGGGTGGGGTAGGAGGTGCTATCTGGAAGGAAGCACACAGACAAATTCCCCGGGCACTCACTGTGCCAATCCTGCCGAGAGGCGAGGGCACTCCTGCCAGGAGATGCCAATTGTCCAGTGCTTCAAAGGACCATAGGTGGCAGATGGGCAAAGCTGTGCAGCAATAGCAGAATGTGTTAAAATGTTAATAATTGTCCTGTTGGGTTCATCATATTCATATAAAAAACCCCAACAGGAGAAACTAAAGGCCATATTTATCCTAGGTCTTAAAATCCCATCTTCGGGTTGTTTCATGAACCAAACATCTTTATAAGGTGCTGAGGAATCTTACAGCTAAACGACCCACAGGCTCTGCCCTGTAAGAACTGCCTGGTAATATTATTCTCAGCGGCTTTAATGGCTCAAGAGTTTCCAAAGCGCTTTGCATGTGTGTTGTGTTCATCTTACAGCCCCGCCCACCGAGGCCTGAGAAGGGCCCCTTCCACAGGATCCCACAGGCACCGTGGCGGCAGGAACCTGCCCGGCAGTGTCCTGGCTTTAAAACAAAGTCTCTTCATTTTTTTTCCTTACCTTCCTCATTCCAATGCCTCCTTTTGGCTAGAAGCCTCTAAGTGCCAGCATTTTTCTGGCGCTTGGCTCTTCCTTGCTGAGGGCTTAGGCTACTTTCACCGTTTGGGGGGCAAACACCACCAAATGATATTGTGTTGGGCATGAAGATATGTTGAATACAAGAAGTGTAATAATTACAACTTGATAATAGAAAGACAAATAGCCCAGTTACAAAACAGACAGACTGGAACTGACATTTCAGTAAGGAAGCTATACAAATGGCCAGTAAACACATGAAGAAATGCTCACCGTTAGGGAAATGCAAATCAAAGCCACAAGGAGAGACCACTTCATATGCGCTAGCATGGCTATGATGTAAAAAATGGACAATAACAAGTTTGGTGGGGAGGGTGAACAACCGGAAGCCTCACACATTGCTGGTGGGAATGGAAAATGGTGCAGGGGCTGTGGAAAACAGTAGTGGTTCCTCAGAAAGCTGGACAGTTGCCACATGATCCGACTTCCACTCCTAGATACATACCCAAGGTAACTGAAAATCTATGCTCACAAAAACACTTGTACACAAATATTCACATTAGCATTACTCAGAAGAGCCAAAAGAGGAAATGACCCATATGTCCATCAACTAATGAATAGATAAACAAAAGGGGGTAGATCCACACAACGGAATATTATCCAGACATAAAAAGGAACAAAGCATTGATACAAGATACAACACAGATGATCCATGAAAACATTACGCTCAGTGAAAGAAGCCAAACCTGGTCACACATCGTATGGCGCCATTTATATAAAAAGTTCAAGACAGGCAAATCCACAGGGATAGAAGTAGATAGCAGTTGCCAGGGGCTGGGGATAGAGGAGAACGGTGAGTGATGGCTAATGGGCACAGGGCTATTTTTCTTTGCAGTGACAAAATAGTCCTGGAATTAGGTAATAGGGAGAGTTGTACAACCTCGTGAATATACTAAAAACCAGTCAATCACTTTAAATTGAATTCAATGCTTTCTCCATTATATAAAAAAACTTGATTACATTTCTCACACTACCTAAAGAAAGGGACTAAACTATTTTTAAACCACACAGAACCTGCCTGAAGGACTGGCTTGTTCTGCAACCTGTGTTCACAGGTGTGTGGGAAAATGGGGCTCCTTTGATTAGAAACTGCACAACCATCACCCTCCCTTTAATGATTTTTTAAAACACAGGAGGTGGCGTGGTGGCTGAAAACTGTTCTGGATGAAGAGGTAGGATGGCTGAGGGGCAATTTGGGTGAGCAATTCACCACTTCAGGCTTTCCTCATCTGAAAACCTGATCGGTAGCTAATCTCCAAGGATCCTCTCTCCGATCTACCACCCTGGGCTTCCACAGTTAATGATCTCATTTTCTATCTTTTCTCATGCATCTCCCAGGATGTGAACCTGCTGTAAATGACTGGCCTGTTCCTCTCTGTGGACTTTTTCTGCCACCCACTGGCCTTCCCCCCTACTTGCCCCCAAGCCCACATGGCCTCAGTACCTCCTGCTGTGAGTGTCATTCTCTGGGACTCTTGGAGTCCCTCCTCTCTCCAACGTGATAGCCAAGCTGCCTTGGCCTCTGACATGCCTGTGTGCTTCCCATTTCTTTGTTTTTATGACCATAATCCTGGCATTTGTCCCACAGGGCCCTCTGCCTCTCATGCCAATTTTAATCAGAACTGGCGATGTCAGTGTCCTTCAGAGCTGGGAGTAGGGGGGAAGCTTTGCTTCTCCTCAGCATCAGATGGGACCCAACACTGCCTGATGCAGGCCAGCGGCCCTTGGTGGACTAGCGTTTGCCATGTGTCCCCCAGCTGTTCTTTCTTGGGTTCTGGAGTCTCAGGTGTGGTTCCCCTCCTGGCCCCCTCGCTGGTGTCCAGACCAGCCTTGGTGTTCGTGAGCATGCACTTCATCACCATGAGCTCGGCAGCAGGTGCGCGTGTGCTCCTTGGACCGCACTCTCTGGACCACGTGTGCAGTGTGGCCATGTGGCCTGTGAACACACGGCAAGGGACCTGCTGCTCTCCCTGCCACCAGTTAATTCATGAAAATATGCCAAAAAATGGGAACTGAAAGCAGATGCTTGTTGAGTTCTACAGCTTGGCCTAATCACTGTCATCAGGATGCCACTGCTGGGAGTCAGGGGGAACGGGGTCCTTCATTTATTAAACGTGGAGTGCCGGAGTTGGGGGCCAAATGTCTGATTCTTACTTATTTAAATCAGCAAGTGTTGACTGAGGGTGGTGGTGGTGGGGAGTACAAAGAACCCGCAGTTCCTAATAGGAACTTGCTGAAAGTGGCCTCAGATCTGGAGGGGGGCATGTCAGAGTGGAAAGAGCGAAGCAGACCGACTTTCTATGGACATCGTCCTTAGTGGGGTGCCGCCAGCCTCTAGTCAGGTCTGGTCGGACGCTTGATTTCAGGACAGGGTAAGAAATCAGCATGGGTGTCCTTTCTGGAAGCCCCCCACTGCATGGGCTCCGGGGC